AAGACGAGGCGAGGAGGAGATAAGGTTCGATCGTCGTCTCACTCTCTTCTCTCTCTCCCTCCCTTCTCTCTCGTCTCACTCTCTTCTCTCTCGTCTCGCTCTCTTCTCTCTCTCCCTCCCTTCTCTCCCGCGCACTACCGACGGTTGGCCGGCGGAGGCGGCAGTGGTGACCGCGCCCTCCCCTCCGCCAGATCCGGGCCATCCGGTGGGAGGGGAGGCGGCGGCAGGGAGCTAGAGGGGAGCCCGTGGCTGCAGCTGCCCGGCGGCCGGACGGGAGGCGGCGGCGACACCCTCCCCTCCACCAGATCCGGCCGGAGGGGAGGCAGTGGTGCCTCCGCTCCACCAGATCCGGCCGGGAGGGGAGTCAACGACGACAGGAGGGGTGGCAGCAGCAAGTGGCGTGGCTCACGGGCGGTGGCGGCGACGACCTCCCCTCTGCCAGATCTGGCGGGAGGGGAGGTAATGGCGGCGGCGGAGCCCTCCCCTCTGCCAAATCCGGCGAGGAGTAGGTAGCGGCAACGACGGCGGTGGGCTCCCCACGGGCGACAGTGGTGGGCTCCCTTGTCTCTCCTGCCACCAGTGAGCACCCCCAACCGTCTCCTTCGCTTGCCGGCTGTGCCATTGTTGATGTTTGATTCGATGATTTAATGATGTTTGATGTTTGATTCAGTGATGTAAACTTGTTGATGAATATTTGATTGTGTGATGCATGAATTTGTTGATTATGTGATATGTCCTTTTTCTAGATTTTTGATTTATTCTGTGAGATGAATATTGCCAAATTTTGTGATTGTGTGATGTGTTCGTTCTGTTCTTGCGGATGTGGGAGGAGGGACTGCGATCGAGCCAGCTTTTTTTTTATTCGTCGAAAAAAAGGTGCCGGTTCTAAGGAATCGGCACCTTTTTTATTTTTAAATCAGTGCCGCCTCCCTTATGCCGGTTGGAAAAACCGGCACTGAAGGGGTTTCCCAACCGGCACTTAATCCTTTTCTGTAGTAGTGGCACCCAAGCCTGGAAAAGATCGACGAATTCGATCTGTGCGTGATCGATTGCCAACGTTTTCTGAAGATCGATCTTTCATTTCAATTCGCATATCGTTAGGTCCCGTATTTTGATTAATTGCTACTACTAGCTGCTGCTATACAAGCTACTAGCAAGCTTGTCCGGTCGTCAGTGCAAAAGTATATACGTCCATGCAAAGCATCCCGGCATGCAGCTGCTCAGCTCCTCCATGCCTCCATGCTCGCTATCTCTCTGCAATCTGCAGCTATGAGAATTATTTATTTTTATATATCGATCTGAACCTGAAGATAGCTAACAGCATGTATGCTGGTAATACTTTGACCACAGTTGAAGTGTACAGAAGACCAACAGCCTTTTATTAGTGGTGGTTCAATTCAATTACTTCAGCATCTTATTTGCCAGAGAGACCAGCAACAGTGGTTGATGTCAACTGTACAGTAGCACACATGTGCAGACAACACAATAAAATGTACAGTATAATACACTGCGAAAGTATAGACTATATGGATGTATGGTCATGGATAAGTAGCTGCTACTGCAATTCTACAACACCACTCGCTGGCCGGCCATGCTTCAACATTTATTAATTATATGTCGTTAGCCGCTTTTGTATGTATTAATAATCCTTGTTAATTACTAGTTGTTAGTGTAACTATAGCTGCCATGAATTACTGGATAGTGAAAGTAACATCTCATTTAGCTGAACGCACAAAGTTAGCTAGTGAAAGTACTACTTCAATTCAGTACTGCTGTTGTTCATCAGAATAATGCTATTGCTAGCTAGCTCGGTCCATTGTTCATGCATATTATTTGCAACAACCTACCTATCAAATCGGCCAATATGAAACAGTAGAGATCTCTGTAGTAATGTATCGGAGAGCAGACAAAAATTAAGCATGTTTTGAAGTGCCGAGGCCTAATGAAGCAATGATCAGTCACCAGTAATGCATCTGCAGAAAGATATACAATCATAATATCATGCATGCTAGGGTAGATGCTGCAGAGCAGACAAGGTTGTATTCGTGATGGGCCGGAACACAAAGAATTCTTGGGCCAGGCCGACCGTCCGTTTGGGTTTGGGTTAGGTTGTCTCAGGCTCTCAGCCAGTACCAGCAGCGTTCAGTATTGGACTATGTCTTAAATATATAGTTACATTTTTTTAGATAATGACATACTAGTATATAGTTAGATAAATCTTCAAAACATATCATTCGATCCTTAGTCCAAGGAGATTGGCCACAAGGTAATCTGTTCTGTTTCTTCCTAGTAGATGAGCTAGACATGTACCAAGAAGACAGAGATACCCAAGTCCATTGGAAACAGAGTAACAAACAAGTATATTCCAACAAGAAATGCTTCAGTGCAAACAAATGATGAACTTACAAGGCTACAACTTGGCTAATGTACATCCAAAATCCTGAAACCCAGGTCATAATTTATAAGCAACAAACTAATACCTTTTTCTTGTTCTCTTCGAATCATCCAATGACAAGAAATGAGGCAAGCATACACGCACGCATTTTTTTTTCTCCTATAAATTCAACAGCTGCCACAACATTGAAACCCTGCTCCTACTGAGACCACCTGATCCAACTATACTAGCTGCTGGTAAGTGGTAAGTGATCTCTCATTAATTACTTGGCATTTTTATCAGAGGAATTAGTTAGCGTTTTTTAGCAATGTTTTCTGGTACGGACGCATCGTCGCCGGAGCTGTCGCTCTGCTCGCCATATGGGCCGTGGACGCAAGGCCGTAGCCCAACCGAGGAGCTGGGCCTAGCTCTGTTGGAGTGTGCGGCCCACGTAGAGACTGGGCCCATGGAGAAGGCCACGCGTTGCCTCGCGCGCGCCACGGGCCTCGCCGCCGCCGCCGCCGCCGGCGACGGGCCGCGGAAGCGCCTCGCCGTGGCAATGGTGGACTGCCTCGCGCGGCGCCTCCTCCGCCCCGTCCAGGCCATCACCGACGCGCTCATCGACCCCTCCGTCTACCTCGACCGGCGTTCCGTCAGGGCGGCGCGCCGCGGGTTCTTTGAACTCAGTCCCTTCCCCAAGGTGGCGTTCGTCGTCGGCAACCGCGCCATCGTCGAGGCGGTGGAGAACGAGAGCTTAGTCCATGTCGTCGGCATGTCCGGTCCATTTACCCAGCCATGCCAGTGGATCCAGCTCCTGCACGAGCTTCGCCGTCGCCCGGAAGGCCCGCCACGTGTCGTTCGGCTCACCGTCGTCCACGACGACGGGGAGTTGCTTGCCAAGATGGAAGAGTTGGTCTCCGACGAAGCCGAAGAGCTCGGCATGGAGTTCCAGTTCCATGGCGTCGTCGGCCAGCTCGAGGATCTGGACTTCAGTAACCTTCGCAATGTCCTTGAGATAAAATCCGGCGAGGCGCTCGTCGTCAGCTGCACTCTGCAACTGCATCGTCTTCTTGCTGCTGATGACGATGCGATGTATAGCTCTCGCTCTGCCCATCTCAACCAAATGGCGAGCATCGCGCAGCTCCAGCACATGGCGGTGAATTCGTGCCCGTCGAGTAGCGGCGGCGGAAGCGTGCAGTACAAAGACGATGACCCTTACCGAAGCCCGGCCACACCGCTGACGTTCGTCTCGCCACCGGTGTCAACCCCTCACTTCCAGACGCCGGCGGCGCTGGCGAGCTTCCTGTCGGCGGTGCGCGCGCTGTCCCCGAAGATCCTGGTGGTGGCGGAGCAGGACGCGGACCACAACGGCGTCTCCTTCCGGAAGCGCTTCTGCGAGGCGCTCCACCACTACGCCGCCGTGTTCGACAGCCTCGACGCCGCGGCCGCCACCACCTCGGCGGCGTCGCGCCTGTGGTCTCCCGACGAACGCGCGCAGGTGGAGCGCGTCGTGGTGGGCGAGGAGATCAAGGGCGTCCTACTCCGGGATGGCGCGCACCGGCGGGAATGGCACGACCGGCTGCGGCAATGGGCGGCGCGCATGGAGATGGCCGGGTTCACCGGCGTGCCGCTCAGCTACGCCGCCATCAAGAAGGGGAACGACATGGTGAGGCGATGCGGATTGAGACGCTGCGAGAACAAGGAATGCGGCGGCTGCCTCCTGCTGTGCTGGAGCTCGAGGCCTCTCTACTCGATCTCGGCATGGCGGCCGGCGGCGAGCAGAGGATCTGGGTCAGGTTCAGAGAGAAGCGAGTACGTACATGTCGGTGCCGAGCCAGATGATCGATGACTCCGGTATAGGGGTGGGCATTCGGTCTTGATCTTCGGTGTTTCAGTCATTTCGGTCTTTGAAAAGTGTAGATCGAATTTTAACGTAAAAATGTCAGGACCGACAAATTCGGTCTTGGTTTTTTCGGTCTCGGTCTTGATCTTGGCCGAAATTCAATAATATTTTTATAAACTCAAAGAAATAATGAAAATTTTCAACACAAAAATCACAAAAAATTTTTGTAAACACGTATAAGTAAAGACTATTATTAGATTGCGTGCCTAGAAGTAGGATGTTGAAATTAGAGTTTAATCTTATTGAAATTAGTGGATTGTGTGTTGCATTTAGACATTTTTTTTAATTTGGTCTATTCGGTTAACCGAGAAGACTAATCGAATTGACCGAATAAAATTCGGTCTTTCACTGCCTAGTACCGTATTGTTGACGGAATTTCTCATTATCGGTCTCGGTCTTTCGGTTCGGTTTTTTTCTGCCCACCCCTACTCCGGTACATAGCTTTGATGACCAACCAGACGAAAGAGCATGCATTTGTAATTTAGTTTTCAATTTGTAACTTATTTCTTTTTTTTTCATTTTTTTGCGAGATTAATTAATCTGTATAAGAGGCAGAGAGTTCTTGAGTTGCAATTATGTGGAGAGGAGAGATTCGAGAGAATGGTTAGCTATGAAAAATCTAAAATTATGATCAAACTCATTTTTTTTCTGAGATTAGAGTGTGGCCATTTTGATTTGTTTGAAATTCTAGTTAGTTTTGGGCCGAATCTAACAAGGAAAAAGTGTACCGAAGGTCCCTCAACTTGTTAGCGGTATAAAAAACATCCTCAAACCACAAACCACATATGAAGGGTCCCTTAACTATACAAAACCGGTCACCAGAGGTCCTTTGGTGGTTTGACCGGTCATCCGACGTCCTTCGGTGGTTTTGACACCGGTTTTGGTCTACGTGGCGGCTGAGTCAGTGTGGGACCCATGTGGACCCCACATGTCAGCGTGCCACGTCATCACCCTGTATTTCCCCTTTCTTTTTTCTCTTCTCCGCGGGGGTAGAACGGAACATGCGGCGGCAAGCGGTGCTGAGCAGCGGCCGGCGAAGCGGAGAGGAGCGGAGGCGCGGAGCGCCGGTGGCGGCAGGCGGGTGAGCACGGTGGCCAGCGTCCTCCTCCTCCATCGCCGCATCGACGGTGTGTGCCCTGCTTCTCCCGGTGGTCGTCGGCGTCCTCCTCGGCTCCTCCTCCTCCGCCGCCGCATCCGCGGCGTCACCGGCACCGGCATCCTCTGGCCGGCGGAGCCCGCCGCTCCGTTCAACTCGCACGCGATGCTCAGCTCCTCCACGAGCTACTCCGCCGTTTGCCCATGAGCGCCACGATGCTTTCCGCCGCCGGCTGCGCGCGGTCGACGAGCACGGAGAGGAGCAGCGAAAGGTTCTGCTTCAGCGTGCGGAGCGCCGGGCGGATGCGGGCGTCGGCATGGACAGCTCGAGGAGCTGCTCGTCCATTGCGCCGTCGGGGAAGCTCTCGTCCTCCACGCCGCCGCACTCACTCGGCTCACCATTGTAGTCGTAGCAAAACAAATCTGTTTCAGACAAAAGCAAACTCCAAATCTTTGATCGAACAATGATCTTAGCCACAATTCAGTGTGATCTTGATCTGAATCTTGATTGTTCTTACCCCGGTACTGCACATTGTTGATCACCAGCGTCGGCAAGATGGTCACATCCCCTCTAGCGCCATGTCCAACCTGCATCAAGAACAGCAATGGCGAAGGTGTTCGCCAGTCACACACCGAAAATCCTGCATTTTTCAGCATCAAGCTGGTCAGTTGGTCTAACAACCTGAACAATCTGCTCCGTCTTGAGCGCGTCGTTCTCGATGTAGTCGTAGCACCCGACGCTGCTGCACTCGGGCTCCGTGTCCCAGCGGCAGAAGAAGTAGCGGTCCTCGTCGCCGTAGAACCCGGGCGTGTCCAGTACAGCAGGGGCGATGCAGGGGATGAGGCAGAGCACCCGCGCCGACGGCGTCTCCTCGATCGAGTACTCCGGCTCGCCGTACCGCAGGCGCTCGCTGCGGCCGCCGCCGCCGACGACGCCGAGGCCCACGCCAGCGCGCCGCAGGTTGCTGAACAGGCAAAGGCTGTGCACCGCGCTGCCCTTCCTCGCCCAGAGCACCGCCAGGCGCAGCAGTCGCCACGCTCGCCTCCCGATCGACGCCTTCTGCTGCTTCTGATTCGCCGCTGCTGCCGCCACCAACGCCATTGCCGCAAATACCAGATTCAGCGGAAGAAAACGGTCGCAAAATGCTCCCCTGCTCCCGCGTCGCCGGCTGCCGGACCTCCTCTCCCGCCTCGCCCCGTCAGTCTCCTCCCCACCCGCTGGTTGCCCTGCCCAGAGCCCCAGAGAGAAAATTGAGAGAGAGAGAGAGAGAGAGGAGGAAGGGAGAGAAGAGGGGGAAGAGAGAGAGGAGGCTGACGTGGATATACTGACATGTGGGGTTCGCGTGAGTCCGCGTGAGTCCCACGCTGACTCAGCAGCCACATATGATAAAATCGGGATCAAAACCGTTGAGGGACTTATTGTGACCGGTTTTTATTAGTTAAGGGACGCCGGATATCAGGTATTGCGGTTCGAGGACGATTTTGTATCCCGCTGACAAGTTGAGGGACCTTCGGTGTACTTTTTCCATCTAACAATGCCAAGACGGGCCAGTTCTTATGGGCTCCAAGCCCCAAAGGCCCAATCAACCATACGCAAAGGCTTCGGCCACCTTCCCCTTCTTCCCAGTCCCCACACTGATCCGCCATGTCGCGTCGGCCGTTCGGCGGCGGCGGCGGCGATGTCCGCCAGTCTCCACCGGCCAGCCCTCGCTTCTCTACTCCAGATCGAGGCGGGAGGCTGCGGAGTCCTTGGTGTATTTGCGCCTGGACCCCGGCTCCCCTGTCGCGGCTATCACCCGTGCAGGAGTAGCAGCACTCTGGGTTCCGCGTCATTGACACCGCGACGCTGGCATATTTCCCCTCCCGGACTCCGGATCAGGGACGTTCTGGTAGCAGTTTGTGCTTTCCTTTATTGCACCTTTAAATTTGCAATGCGAAATGTTGTGGATAAGTTTTAATTTAGAAAAAGAAAGTGAGTATTTACTACAGTATGTCGCTACTGTGCTAAGTGCCTTTGTGGTTGTGGATGATGCGTACCATGTAACAAGTAAGAAATCACTTAAGCTGTTGGTACTAAGCGTTACCAATTTTATCGAATTAACAAAATTTCATTCTGATCAAATGCTAGTTATGATGCCATTGGGCTAACCGGCTAAACCCTAGTGAAAAGGAAACACAATGCAGCTATACTAATAAAGAAAAACAGACCAATGAAATGTGCATCTGCCTGAAATGTAGAATATATAACCCGGCTGAAATGTAGAATATATAATGTGATTCTTCCCTTGTTAAACCCATAATCTTTCACAACAAATATTTAGGGTCTGGCCAACAGGGCAGTTGGGTTTGCTAGAACCTGTGTCCTACCTTAGCAAATAAGGATGCTAACCGCATAAAAATTGCTAAGATATTAGTATCACTTAACAGTATGTACTGCATATATTTTCTCATTCTAAGTAGGTACCACATGGTCCACATCTCTTCTTTCTATATTATTTTTTTAAAAAACCATAATTTAATAAGCTTGCCAAAAGTTCCATGCATAGTAGTATTCCATAGTCCAACGAGATTGACCCCAATGTTTGTCAGTTGCTACCTGGTGGATATGAAGAAACCAAAGGGACAAATTCGAACAGAACAAACTGAACATTCCTATATTATTCCTTTCATTGCGGACATGCCAACATGTAAAACTTTGCCTATACCGTGAATCCTTCCAAATTGCCTAATGTAATTCTATATAAAACCAAAAATCTTTATTTTGTTCTATCAGTTAAAGACATGAGTTAGAGTGCTTTCCTTATGTATCACATATGTAGCTGTGCATAAAATTGGAGTTACTCCAGCAAACTCAGCCAAACAATACTTCCTACTTGACCGCGCCAATCTTTTCCTAGAGAGCAGAAAATAAAATGATGCATGGGCTATGGGTGCAAGATCAGGGTGTGGTGGATCACTTAGCGCAGCTCGTCCCTCTCTTGCATGAGTGTGCTTCCCATGTAACTGAGGGATCTTTTGAGAAGGCTGACTTCAGCTTTAAGAAGATCAGAATGCTCACCATAGCTGACGGGCCATTGCAGCGCCTATCCACGATCATTGTTGACAGCCTAGCTCACCGCCTTCTCTCCTCCATCCAGGGCCTTCCTGGTGCCCTTATCGATCCATCTGATTACTTTGAGAAGTCAACCCTCCGGGCTGCACGCCACAACTTCTTCAAGCTGAACCCCTACCTAAGCACCGGTTTTGTCACTATTAACTGGGCCATTATGGAGGCAATGGAGGATGAAAAGGTCACAGTATGATTTGAATGTGCTTTTAGAAAAAAAAAAGTTTTCAATAGATATGCAGCTTACCCAATACATTGGGATCTGTCATTGCTTTGTGGTTGAAGTATGTATTTTTGTCACCTGCTTAATTTGGATGCCAAGTCTTCTTTTTTTGGCTAATTTATTTAATTAGCAATTTAGCATGGTGCTAGAATATAATTCTCCTTTCCAGGCCATATAAACTTTATAGCATGCTGACTTCCCAGAACATCAATGTTTGTCACTATTGATTCAAGAACTAGAGTTGATACTGTTCCTTTCTACTTTTCTAATAATGCTGGGCAGTGTAGATTTGTTAAGATTTCTTCCCGAAAACATGCCGAATTTTTTGGAGATCAAAGTAAAGACCAATTAGAGATGCAATAGTTATTAATGCCATTTTAAAACTTTCCCATTATAACTTTAAAACTTTACAAGGTGCAATTTATGTTGAAAGGTCATTAATGTTTAACATGGTAGGTAAAATTGATATACATTTGCACACAACATTCTTTAAGAACAAAGTCAGGACCTGCAGAATTGTTGGTTAGCATTAGCGAGCATTACTGAGAATTTGAGATTATTTGTACCATGCTTGTAATCTTCTAACGCAGGTAGATTTGCAGGTTGTCCACATTGTTGACTTGTCCTGCTCAGCTGCTCATCCATGGCAGTGGCCTAAGCTCCTCGATGACTTCCATGGACGGCCTGGCGGGGCACCTGAATTATACCTTACTGTTCTCCATGATGACAATGATTTCTTGGCCGACATGCAGTCATTGCTATCTAAGAAAGCTGAATCTCTTGGGGTGTCCTTCCATTTTATTTCTGTGATAGGCAGACTTGAGACCTTGGATTTCAGCAATCTCCGTAGCACCTTTCAGATAAAATTTGGTGTGGCAGTTGCAATCAGCTGCGCTCTACAAATGCATCGCCTCCTCTTGGTTGATGACAATTTGAGCTCCACCAGCATTGCCCAGCTCCAGAAAATGGCCAACTTCACTCAGCCTAAGCAAATGGCCAGCTCTGTGTGCAGCCCAGCCTCCACACTGAACTATCTGCAGACACCATCCCCTCGTACACCAAAATTGCTGGCAAGATTACTGTCTGCCATCCGAGCGCTCAAGCCAAACATCATGTTGATTATGGAGCAAGATGCAGACCATAACACCCTGCTGTTCCGTGATCGGTTCAATGAGGTACTCAACTACTATGCTGCCCTCTTTGACTGCTTCCATGCAGTGGCTGCAGCTAACCCAGGGAGGACTGATGAACGCTTACGTGTGGATAGGATGATCCTGAGGGAAGAGATTAAAAACATACTGGTATGCGAGGGAGTCCATCGGCACGAACGGCACGAGAGGCTGGACCAGTGGGCAATGCACATGGAGGAATCTGGGTTTCACAATGTGCAACTTAGCTTCAGTGCCATCAGGGAGGGTAAAGAGAATCTGCTGAGCTTTGGATTGAAAAACTGCCAGAACAAAGAAGACAGGGGTTGCCTTCTACTGTGCTGGGGTTATACGAATCTCTACTCTATCTCGGCATGGAGGCAAAATAGAGGTTCATCCTCTGGGAGCAGAGAGCATATGTTAGTTCAACGCCAAATAATATGGCCATTCCAGTAGGCCTCTCTGTCCGTGGCAATTAGAGAGCAGCAGACTACATCCAAATTTCCCACTCTGGGTGCTCTGTTCAGCATATGTCTGGCAGCTCAAGGTACAAGCTGATAATGTGTGTTTGCAGCAAGATTTGACTCCTGCACTAAAGATATGCTAATAAGTTCACTTGGTGTAAAAAAAAAAGGATGGTATAGGTAGGACATAGAAATATCTTTTGGTGTGAAGTATGTAAAGAACTGAAAGGTCTGTGTTTTTTTTTTCTCTTTGAAAATTGGAACCAACGAAATGGGATTGGCAGAGATGCTTAATTCATCATCGATCCTTGAATGATTACCCATCATTTCGTAGTTTTCTCTGTTTGCAAAATGATTATGTTTCTTAGAAAATGGTACTTATGTTTCGGCAGAGTAATCTCATATCCAAAGTTTATGCGCCTGATTAAGAGGCTGAGAAACTCCTATGGTTATGTATGCAAATTAATCTCATATTCCTAGCTTTTCCTGCAAAAATAGACGAGAAAATTAGGTTTGGAGGTAAAAGAACAACAACAGCTTGGGTCCAAATGCGAACGTTTGCTCCAAGAAAGGCCCCTTGCAATCACCTACACTTCGACGTTTGCAACTTCAGACAAAACCAGGTTTTGTTTGGACTAAGAACGCAGATTTTGGAGCTATTAGTTTCATTGATCCTGTGCTTAGTCATGGACTGCAATAGACTGGGAGCACAAATAGAAAAAAAAAATCGTGACTGCAATAGACTGGGAGCAGAAGAAATTGATCTCAAAATTGTCAGATAGCATCTGATCCAAATGCTGGAGATAAATTCCAAGGGAATAATTCCAAGCTCCTTAGTTATTCCACCAAGATACAGACGACATCTCTTAGTTCTATCCGAAGAAGCATCCACTTCTTCTTTGTCCCTTCGTCGTCCCATGACAACTTCGTCGCACAGGAACACCTGACCTTGCAACATTTGTCTCAAACCCAACAATGGCGACATGCCAATGATGCCATTGCTTGATAAGCTTCACGGCTCTGAAAACTGGTAGCAGTTGAGGCTGTGCTGCACGGACAGGGGCATGTTCCAGGACGACATGCTGTCGTCGGCGACGTCATCGCCGGCGTCGTCGGTGTACTCGCCGTCGCCGTCGCCGTCGAACGGGTCGTGGGTGCAGGAGCTGAGCCATGACCAGCAGAGCGTTCGGCTGATCGGCCTGCTTTACCAGTGCGCCGCCGAGGTGTCCGCCGGCTCCTTCGACCGCGCCAACCTCTGCCTCGAGCACATCACGCAGCTCGCGTCCCTGGACGCGCCGCACGCGCTCCAGCGCCTCGCCGCCGTCTTCGCCGACGCGCTCGCGCGCAAGCTGCTCAACCTCATCCTGGGCCTCTCGCGCGCGCTGCTGTCGTCGGCCAACTCCGCCGACGCCCACCTCGTCCCCGTCGCGCGCCGCCACATGTTCGACGTGCTCCCGTTCCTGAAGCTCGCGTACCTGACCACCAACCATGCCATCCTTGAGGCAATGGAGGGGGAGAGGTTCGTCCACGTCGTCGACTTCTCCGGCCCGGCGGCGAACCCGGTGCAGTGGATCGCGCTGTTCCACGCGTTCCGAGGCCGCCGGGAAGGCCCGCCGCACCTCCGCATCACCGCCGTCCACGACAGCAAGGAGTTCCTCGCGAACATGGCCGCGGTGCTGTCCAAGGAGGCGGAGGCGTTCGACATCGCGTTCCAGTTCAACGCCGTGGAGGCGAAGCTCGACGAGATGGACTTCGACGCGCTCCGCCACGACCTCGGCGTCAGGTCCGGCGAGGCGCTCGCCGTCAGCGTCGTGCTGCAGCTTCACCGCCTCCTCGCCGTCGACGACGGGAGGAGGCACGCCGCCGCCGGCTGCCTCACCCCGGTCCAGATCATCGCGCGCTCCAGCCCGAGAAGCTTCGGCGAGCTGCTGGAGCGGGAGCTGAACACGCGGCTGCAGCTGAGCCCCGACGCGTCCGTGGTGTCGTCGCTGTCACCCCACTCCCCCGCAGCAGCAACGGCGGCGCACCCGACGACGTCGACGCCAAAGCTGGGGAGCTTCCTGTCGGCGGTGAGGTCGCTGTCCCCGAAGATCATGGTGATGACGGAGCAGGAGGCGAACCACAACGGCGGCGCGTTCCAGGAGCGGTTCGACGAGGCGCTCAACTACTACGCGTCGCTGTTCGACTGCCTGCAGCGGAGCGCGGCGGCGGCGGCGGAGCGCGCGCGCGTGGAGCGGGTGCTGCTCGGGGAGGAGATCCGCGGCGTGGTGGCGTGCGAGGGGGCGGAGCGGGTGGAGCGGCACGAGCGGGCGCGGCAGTGGGCGGCGCGGATGGAGGCGGCCGGCATGGAGCGGGTGGGGCTGAGCTACAGCGGCGCCATGGAGGCGAGGAAGCTGCTGCAGAGCTGCGGGTGGGCGGGGCCGTACGAGGTGAGGCACGACGCCGGCGGCCATGGCTTCTTCTTCTGCTGGCACAAGAGGCCGCTCTACGCCGTCACGGCGTGGCGCCCGGCGGCGTCGCGACGCGGCCACACTCGGTCGTAGCTGTGCACGCGCATGTGTTCTCTGTGTGAAATTGACAGCTTGTTTGGATTGGATCATTTGAGTGGAGAGAACTGAATTGATCAGCTTAATTGTGTTGTTTTCACTGGGAGATTGTTGCTATTTGCCAGCATCATCATCGTCATCCAAGGTGCTGCACGGTTGAATTTGCAACCTGGTTGCGATGTTGAGTATGAGTGTATGACACTATTAATGTGACAGTACTACTGTGATCGATGCTTCACAGTATAGATCACTTTGGATCATAAAGATAGTTTGTGAAAAGTGAAACTCAGTGTTTAGATCACTTTGTCCTGCAGCTTGAGTGCTTGACCTCTTGTCTTTGTCACTGAAAAAGTGCAGGGCTAGTTTGCTTTTGACCGGAAAGTTGCACTGCATCTCGCTGGAATTGCATGCACCGTTGGTAAGTTGCCCCGCAATTGCAACGCACTGATGTCTCCGGTCTCCCGCGCGCTCAACATGTACAACGCATGCAAACTGTTTTCCACGGGAAGATTAATTAAGGCCCCGTTCCAACGTGCCTATCGGGCAGGCAATTAGCTGCTTGGCTTTACTTGGAGAAAACACTCAATTGACGTATGTTTAACTAAGATTGAATAAACTTAAAAATATATTTACTTAAAGTTTTTAAGAAATTTCTATAGAAAACTTTGTTTTAAAACATCATACGTTTAGCGGCTTAGGGGTTAGAACACAGCTATTAATATATGAGTGGATTACAGGACTTCTACTCCCTCCATACTACAAGGGATTTTGGGTTACATATATATGAAGTATAAACATCCAATAATAATGCTGAGGCACCTATGATATGATGATGGAATCATAACCAAGTGTGGGAGTATGGTGTTGCGTATATAGAGATATGTGTGCTTGTGTTTACTGTAAGTCTAAAAATTAAAAAAAAAGATCAATGGCTGGTGTATATGATGGTATGTATGTGCATCTTACGTATAATTAATTTATACTCCCCCCATCCATAAAAGTTAGACATATTTCACATTTGAGTTTTTCTAAATAAGTTATTTCTATTTGTATTCTTTATGTATTTAAGACTTAAATGAAGAGATAAATTTAAATGTTTGATTAGAATTTAAGGAGTCTTCTAAATACTCATTGGTTGCATACTTGCATTCACTCCATGATTTTGAAACATCAAAGATGATTTAATTTCTCATTGGTCTTGGTGACAAAAGTAATATGTACAACTTTTGTGGATGGAGGGAGTATAACTCTAAATGTTGACAGTAGTGGTAGCAGTGAATAAGGCCATTCACAACCCAATGACTAAGTGGTGTCCATAGCATTAAATAAGCTGTTAACTAGGATGAAAAATGATGCGGCAAGTGAATAAATGAAAAAAAGAGAAGGAAACCATGTCTTGCATGAGACATGGTTTCTACACAATATCCAAGACATCATGTGAAATAAGTAGCATTAAATTTAAGTATGGAATAGTGGTGTTTGCATTGGAAGAGTGGTGTCTAGTACTAGTTTCTTGATGATGTGGAGTTTATGGAAACTATGTCTAGTGTTTTGGGTTGGGAATGGCCTTAGAAGAGTAGTGTGATGATGTGGAGTTTATATAAACTATGTTTAGTGTCTTGGGTTGTGAATGAACTAAGCTACCATCACTCCGTATCATTGACGTGTGTGCCTCTCAACATCGGTGAAACTTGTGTACTCGCTTTCAATTCCCAATCCTCAATCTGTCCTTTGATTCTATTGCAATGCACGGGCAAATCAGCTAGTAAAGGAAAAAAACGTTACCGATCTAAACTGACCGTTCTGTTCATTTCTTCTGTGAAACTCGTACTACGTACAAAGAGAACAAAAGAAATCAGTGGAGACAATGAACAGCAGATGAACGACACGTACATACAGGAGACGATCGATTAACATGCATTACGTACATCGATCAAAACCTAGTAACCAATATATAATCACGCGCAGCCATACATCATCATGCGGGCGAACTCGTCGAAGCAGACGAACCCGTCGCCGTCGGTGTCCACGCCGCCGATCATGCGGCGGCAGTCGTCGACGGAGCAGAGCTCGTCGCCGAGCGACGCGAGCACGGCGCGGAGCTCCTCGGCGGAGATCCTCCCGTCCCCGTCGGCGTCGAACACCGCGAACGTCTCCTTCAGCTCGCCCTCGTCCGCCGCCGCGGCCGCGATCTCCTCCAGCACGAGCTCCCCGGCGCACTCCGCCTCGGCGAGCATCGCGGCCAGCTCCTCCTTGCTCGACACGATCCTCCGCAGGGCCACCTCCAGGTCCTCCCGCGTCACGGCCACCGCCGCCGGCTTTTTGGTGCCGGAGGAGGACGCCGCCGCCGACGCCGGCAACACGGATCTCGGCGTGGTGGCGGCGGAATCATCGGATGATGACGCCGCCAACGACGACGACGACGAAGACGTGGTGGAGCCGAAGGAGCAGCTCTTGGCGCCGCTCCTCCTCTTCTTCCTCCTCTTCTTGGAGGAAGACGAAGACGAAGAAGAAGAAGAGCCGAACAAATGTGCAAGCTTCATCATGGCGATGTCTTTAGAAATCGAGAGCTGAGGAAGGGGCGAGGAAGATGAGGGGGAAGACGAGGAATTATAGGGGAACAAGGCAAGGTGAGCTTCCACGAAGCTTCGTGCGCGGGAAAACCGAATCGCGCGGGCCTACCATTTCTGCTGTTTATTCGGCTGGGCTTTGAAGGTTTCAGTATGTCCTTTGAGGAGGATACGGCATGAGCGAGATTTTGTACCAAAGTTCACATACAAAATTACACAGACAATGACTACCGTACCCCTTCATGGTGCGTAGTCCACTAGCTTGTGAGTTGTGAGACAATTCGGAAATGTGGGCCTGTTTAGATTCCACCTTAAAATTTTACACCATGTCACATTGAATGTTTAACACCCGCATAAATTATTAAATATAGATTAAAAAATAACTAATTACATAGATTGCGACTAATTTGCGAGACAGATATTTTAAGCTTAATTGCTCCATAATTTGACAATGTGGTGCTACAGTAAACATTTGCTAATGACAGATTAATTAGGGCGTTGTTTAGTTCCCAACTTTTTCTTCAAACTTCCAACTTTTCCATCACATTAAAACTTTCCTACATACATAAACTTCTAACTTTTTTATTCAAACTTCCAATTTTGGCGTGGAACTAAACACAACCTAGGTTTAATAAATTCGTCTTGTGGTTTACGGATGGATTCTGTAATTAGTTTTTTTATTAGTGCCCGAACACCCCATGCGACATCCTATATAATACCCAATGTGACACGCCAGAACTTTACACCCCTGGATCTAAACACCCCATGTACTTCAGATTTCCCATCGAATGCAACTTAGGCCCTGTTTAGTTCACACACGAAAACTTTTTACCATGTCACATCGAATGTTTGGACACATGAATAGAGTATTAAATATAGACGAAAAAACTAATTATATAGATCGTGTGTAAATTGCGCGACGAATCTTTTAAGCCTAATTGCGCCATGATTTGACAATGTGGTGCTACAGTAAATATTTGCTAATGACGGATTAATTAGGCTTAATAAATTCATCTCGCAGTTTACAGGCGGAATCTGTAATTTGTTTTGTTATTAGACTATGGTTGTTTGGTTGATGCCTAAGCTTGCCATAACTAAGCTTAGGCAAGTTGTGGCATGTGGTAAAAGTATGGCCAAGAAATAGTTAGCCACAAGTGTGGCAATGTTAGGTCTAGTTATCTGAGTATGACATGTGGGACCTAAGGGTAGAAAAGTGTAGAATGACACAACTGTGGCATTGAAACAAACATACGCCTAAAAACTGTGGTATGACTGAAGTGTGGCGTGGCAAAGTGAAGCAATCAACCAAACACCCCCTATAGGTGTCCATATATCCGATGTGACACGCCAAAACTTTTCACCCCTAAAAGTAAACAGGGCCTCAATACCAAATGCATATGCATGCATAGGTGCAGCCAGTGTCTAACCCATAAAAAATTAGTGAGGTTCTAGATATACATATAATCTAATTATTGAGTAATATAATGGTTAATATGACTATAACAACAGAAAATAGACAAGCTACCCGATATCCGGGGACTACAGGAAAGCTTCAAGTAGGAACGTCATTGGGTGTAGCATCATATATATGTGTACTACTTAACTACCCTTCATTTTAAAATATAATAAGTTTTAGCCTTTGACACCTATGTAAGAAAATGAGTAAATAGGCTTGGTTGCCTTCTCGGAACTGGTGAGTTATAGACCTGGACTAGTTAAGACTATAGTAAACAAAATGAATAGAATGGGTAGTTTTAATGGTAAAAATATTGTTTTACAACTAGATTGTTATATTTCTGATAAAATTTAAACTTTTTTCAGGGAAAAAAACTTTAGATAAGATTATCATATATTTTGGGAAGGAGGAGGTACGTATGAAAATGAAGTTTGTATCATTATATCATATCGCATCTTATAATGTTATGAATACAATAGAACGATGATCAATCTAAAATACAAGAGGATTGCACTGGGGGTGTCTTTTTGTCTATTGGTGGGAGGAATGTTCCATCGTTTTTTCATGTAACTAATTAAAAATGTCAATGGAAATATTAAAAATATATAGTAAAAATAGATTAATATATAATATATACAATAATGCAGCTCATATTCGACTTATACATGCATGTATAATTTAATATATAATCATATTTGTTATTTTTTTGAATTTGTATAAGTCAAAATTTAAACCTGTGGAGTGATATAACACATCTTGCCAATTCATTTAATTTTATTTATAATTTATTTAGATTATATACATAAAACAAGGAAATATTCACTCGAGGAAAAAAACACTTTATTTGGATTGCAACAGATAAATGACAAATTGATCAGCATGCAACTTGAGAGAGTTTTTTTTATCTCGCAGCTTAGATTTTCGGCGCCGGTGTTCACTTCAACAGTTCAACACGCATGCATGGATGTCGGCAGCAATCAACATCAACATTACCACGGGGGCACACCCACACAATACGTGTTACTCCTAATTAACTAAGTTACGTGATTGGGTAAGTCGTATGTATAATGTGAACATTATCAAACTTAAACGACCGGAATGCATACGTACGTGATGGATTTGGGGTTGATCGCGATCGGGAAGGCGCCAAGAAACTTCGCATGCATAGCTCGACGTACGTACGGCTGCCAAAAAACGCTCCAGTCTGATGACTTAACTGACGTGTGGACATGAGATGATGAGAGGTGGTTTGAAAACTGATGCTCCTCCATGGCGTAGGGCGTACCGCGGCAACCTCATCCGCTAGCTCGTTCACACTCACAGCGGTGGACGTCTTCTCGCTCTCGCTGCGCGCTCACCGTCATCGCTGAGATGAACTCAACGTACGTAGGCTGGAATTCTGTTCCGGCCCAGGTTAATTATATGGGCCTCACGTAGGCTATAATCACGTTCCAGCCCAACATATATGGGCCGCGCGTAGTCTGTAACCCCGTTCTGGGGTCTGGGCCGAGGCCGCAGTCCCGCCTGGACCAACTTATACAGGCCGTACGTAGGCCGGAGTTCCTTTCCAGCACATATGCCGCTCGCCTCCGGGGCAATAATAAGCCGGAATCACTAGTTAGCGTCGCCGGCAGCGTGCGTTTTAGGCCCATAAGGCCTAGCATCGCTGCGCCGGCGCGCGCGCCTCTCCACGCCTTTTTATCTTTTTTTTCGTTTTCTTTCCTCACTTTTTCTGATTTTTTTAATCTTTTAGCATGTTTTGAGTTTTAAAGTTTTAAAATTTTGATTTGAAAGTTTTCAAATCTTAAGTTTAAAGTTTTCAAATCTTAAACTGAAAGTTTTTAAAATTTTTAAATCTGGACTTGAAAGTTTTTAAATCTCGATTCTCGAGTTGAAAGTTCTCAAATCTGAGTTGAAAGTTTTCAAATCTCAAGTTGAAAGTTTTCAAATTTTTCAACTCTGGACTTGAAAGTTTTTGAATCTCGATTCTCGAGTTGAAAGTTTTCAAATCTGAGTTGAATGTTTTTAAAATTTGACTTTAAAATTTAAAACTTAAATCGAAAGTTTTCAAATCTAACTTAAAAAATTTTCAATCTGTTAGAAAAAAATCTCCCAAAAAATCTCCAGAATATATTCTTAATTAGTATCATTAGTGTTAAGTATATTGACTAATATATGTAGTTAAGACTAAAGGGGAGGAAGTGCTCGCCAACTCCCTTTCTTGGCGCGCACGCGCGCCGTAGCAACCCCCATAATAAGCACGTTGGATTAACTCCACTTTACGTCTCTACAATTTTCTTTTCATCGAGTTTAAGTCACATCCCTGAGCCGCAATACAAGAAATTTTTATTATCACCTAACTTAAACCGGGTTAAATTAGGTCCTTCAGCACTGGTTTCGCTGATGTGGCAAGTTGAATACAGTCAACCTGTCCTGTTTGATTCAGCTTAGGATTATTATAATCTGGATTATTAGGAGTAAGCTGAAATAAGCAGATAACTTATTATGATAGATTATTACAATCTATAAGCCAGATTACTATAATATGATAATCCACTCTAAAGGTGCTTTTTTAGATTATTGGGTGGCTAACAACTAACAACCAACTAATAATCCAGAGAAACAAACAGCTAACAGCTTATCTTATGTCGGCTTATTATAATCCAGCTTAAAATAATTTGGCTTAATAATCTAGATTACAATAATCTTAAGCTAAAACAAACAACACCTGAGTCAGCATAGGACCCACGTGGACCCCACATATAAGTCACATGAAAATATATAAAAAAAGAAAAAACCTTCTCTCTCCACCCCCCGGAGCACACGGTAGGGACGACACACCTCTCTTCATCTCGAGCTTTGGCCCAAAGATGACACCTCTCTCCATCTCGAGCTTCGGCCTCAGGAAGTAAGGAGGTGAAAGCCGACGATGACGAGGTTGAGGCGGGGCATGGGGGAGGCAGAGGGCCAAGGACAGCACGGCCCGCCGTATTAAAGACGAGAGTGAGGACCGGCGTCACCCAACCTCGCTTAGCGCCTAATCGCCATCCTGGTTGTCCAACTGTCACGCCCCGAACTAGTCCCGACCGGAACTAGCCCGTGACGCTCCAAATTAACCTGTTAATCGATACCAGTCCCAGGAAACAGTGCTGGTATCACAGGAAGACAGAATATCACAGCAATAGAGGTCTCTTTATTATAGAGTAGGAGTACAGTTATGTTGGGCTGCGGACAGAACCCAGCTCACAACTGCATTACAAAAGGGAAGCGGAAGCCAAGACTTGGACCAAACATCACAGGCGCGACTTGGGAACTAGGCCGAAACCCTAAAACTCAGCGTAGCCGGCTTGCTCCTGGAAGAACTCCTCGTCAGCGGGATCCGCTTCATCTTCTTCAGCAACTGGGGAGGGGGGGATTATTTATATAGAGCAAGGGTGAGTACAGGAGTACTCAGCAAGCTATGGGAAATAAGTGTTTAATGCAGGCTTCAAAGAAATGCCGTTGTTTTTGCGATTGATTTTATTTAAACTCTTTTCTGAAACAACTAAGGGAGTGCTTCTCAAACGACACGGATGAGACAGTGCGTCTCGTCCGGTCGGAGTATGTGCAATGTATCAGTCTTTTGAATTGATCAAGATTGGCACCCGGCCAACAGCTTTCAAACGACCACCCGGGCCTGGCTGATCCCATCAGCCGCAGATTTTCCAAACATCAAACCCATTCCACAACAGCAAATTTCACAAGGCAGTAGTCAAACAAAACTACGCTAGGAATCACCTCACATCCGCCCATGATCGTGGGCACGGCTGTTCGAACAGTTTTAATAACCTCTGCAGAGGGGGTACACTTTACCCACACGACATTACTAACCCGGATCATCCAGCCCGTGCAGAACGGCCATGACTAGAGACCTTAAGGCTTTCATGACAAGGCATTTCGAAAGCCGACACAGGTTCACCATATGCCAACGAGAGGGGTCCCAGACCAACACCAGATTAGGTCCCAGACCATACTGTGCCAGGAAGCCCAGGGGTCCTCCCTGACACCACCCCGGCGAATCCACATGTCTCTTAGCATCATGGCTCCCCCGATAAGCTAGTTACTCAGCTAGGGGTGTCCCATTCCACCCATGTGGTCGTACTTGTCTTATGTTCGGATGAAATTCCAAGGAAACGGTCCTTAAGTGCAAGAGCGGGAAACCGTACACCCGGTACGTTCCCCGGTCCGCGGTTTTGGAAATTCATTTAGTTCGCAAGCACCGACCCAGGTGTCGGGTTTTCCAAGTCTTTTGTAAAACCTAAGTTTTACCCAAGATGTTTCTCAGATTTTAAGTTTTAAGGCGACCGTCGATACCCGTGCAGAGTGCACGATTACCGAGGCGCAACTAGGTGGGTACAAGGGAACATGGTATAACAATTACAAAGGAAGGATCAGATGCAACAAGTTAGGTAGGTCCGCTAATCTGCCTTGCAGACGGGACAAGCAGATTAAGTGCGATCCTATCAATGCATAATATTTTTCAAGCAACATAATTAAGTTCAAATATAGGCTCAAGATGTTCAAAGGTGGCTTGCCTCGCTCGAGATCTTGAGCTTGATCCTCGAAATCCTCGCACTGCGGGTCTTCGGGCTCCGAAACTACACGCGAAACGGGACAACTCAGCAAACGGCGAAAATAAAGCCCTATTATTGACCTCTAAGCGTGCCATTAGATAGATCTCGAGATTTGAGGAATTTTGGAAGTTGAACGGAGTCAAACGGACTTACGGTTGGGAAGATATTGAATTTATAAGATTATTGGATTTTTGGTCTAAAGGAAAAGGATTTATTTAAATCCTTTTTGAAAAAAAAAGAAAAGAAAAGAAGGAGGGAGGGAAATTAGACTTCCCTCGGGCGGCTAGGGCGCGGCCTGAGAGAATGGGGCGGCTCGGCCGAGCTTAATGGGCCGGCCGGCCCAAGAAGGCGGCCCAAGGCGCGCGCGCGGGCGGGGAGGGGAGAGAGCCGGTGGGCCGGGTCCCCATCCCGCGTGGTCCCGGGTGGGACCCGCTTGTCGGCGACTCGGCTCACCGTGAGCGAGGTGCACGCGGGGCATGCTAGGGTTTGGGAAGGGAGGCGCGACGCATGCGCGCGGTTCGCGGAGGACGCGGTGCGGCGGGCCCATGCGCAGCCTCACGGCTCGCGGTGGAGTGCGCGCGCGAGGGGGCGGAGGGAAGCGGCGGACCGGGGTCTGCTTGACCCGGTCGCGGCCGAGGTGGCGCCGACGTGGCGCCTACGTGGCTGCCACGCGGGCCGGCGGGAGGTAGACGACGACGCCGGCCGGAACGGACGGCGGACGACAGCGCGCGAGCGGCGGAGCGAACCATGGCGATACAGGCGAAGGCGAACACACCGGGATGTTGCACAGGACGAGGGGAGACGAGCCAATGGCTCGGATTCGCCGGGGGATGCTCGACGGCGGCGGATTGCGGCGGCGGCAACCGACGGCGGGAGAAGGGGGAAACGGCGATGAGTTCACGAGGGGCCGATTCCTGGCGGCGAGAGCATCTACGCGGCTACGGGAACCCACCCCTTGCACCGGATTAGGAGGAATCGCATCGAGGGAGGCCGGCGACGAGAGGCGCTTCCGAGCTCGGGCGGCGACGGCAACGAGCACACGGCGAGCGACGGCAGCAGTCGAGGCGGCGCCGGCTAGCTACGGGGGGGGGGGGGGGCTACTCGTGCTACTACCCGAGTCTAAGGGGAGGAGATGGAACGAGGAGAGAGAACGGAGGGAGGCACTACCGTGTGGGGGTGATGGGGCGCAGTGACAATGGGCCGACGGCACGGGAGCGATCTCTCCGGCCTCTGGCCGGGGGAGAGGAAGAAGACGAGCGCCCGGAGTCCCCTTCCGCGTCCTAACGCGCACCGGCTCCTCCGGCACACGCGACGGCGGCGGCCGGCGAGAGAGACAGCAATGGCGCGGGCGAGAAACGGGGAAGATTGGGAGGGGAAAGAGGAAGGGAGGCGCTTGGGTTTATAGGGCGGCGATGTCGGTTTGGAAACCGACCTTGGGCGGTCAAGGGAGCGAGCTGGCGCTCGGCGCTCGCGGCCAAAACGGCGACAGGAGGGGGGGGGGGAGGATGACGCCGGCGGGAGGGAAAAGGGAAAAAGGGGGAGAGAAAGAGGGCTTGCCTCCTTGCCGCTTTGGGGAAAAGGAGGAGGGAGAGAGGGCGACGCGGCAGAGGAGGGAGCTCTGCCTCCGTCCCTTGGAGGCACGCGCGGGGAGAGGCGGGGCCGAGTCGATGACGACGGCGATGACGGCGGGGCGGTTTGGAGTGGAGCGGCGACACGGGCGGCAGACGCGGGGCAGGCGCGGCAGGCGCTGACGGCGGCGGTGACTGGCCGGTCGGCCACCACGGCGCGCGCGCGCGCGCGGGCGGCGCGGCGATTTGGGCGGCATCGGCGGGAACGGCCGCGAGAGTGGAGAGGGAGAGCTCGACGCGGCTCACGGGCAGAGCGGGGAGAGAGAGAGAGGGAGAGAGAGAGAGAGGGGGAGATGGGCCGAGAGGGATTCGGCCCATCGAACCCGAGGGAAGCAAAATAGACTTTTGCGGAGGGATTTGATTTGGGAAGGATTTGGATTCGGGATTGAACTCGACGATAGATCAGAGATTTGAGATCTGAGATGACACGGACACTAGACAACAAGCAAAGAAACGGATTTCGCAAATAAGGTTTTTAAGAGATAGTTTTCCCGCTAGACGCCACGACGGAACGGGCGCTACACCAACCGCGGTATACACACAAAGTTTATACATATATATACAGAGTTTATACGTATGTATATAAAGTATATACATATGCACATACATATAGAGAGGAGAGTCTAGGGGGGAAATCCACCGCGCAGGCGTGCGACCACCCGCACAGTAGCTTACAGACACACATCTTGTAGCAGCGTTCTGGTGCCATCGCCGCACTCTTTTCCTACAACAAACACCTTCCTCTCCTCCTGTCGCCCGGACGATGCCCTTGATCCGCTCGACGCATGCAATACACGACGAAGAAACCTAGCCCATTGTTTCTCCATCACAACGCGTGTAGACTCGCGCTTGCTGGAGGATGCACTGAACTACTGAAAGTGTTCGATGGTATGCCTTAAGAGATATCTGATGTCCTGAAAATGCTGTGCTGGACTTCAGGAGTTCGTCTGGGGATCGGAAGCAGGATCATATGCCTTCAGGAGTTCCTTCGGATGATATATAGGTAATGAAAAAAGCTCGATGTTTTCGCCTCTGCATCTGTCCTTCGCGATTTGGCTGAGTGGATGGCATGTTTAGAAGCACGGAGATACACTTCGATCAGTTATTCTCAAGTTTGGTTATGGAGTATACCAGAGATCTTTTTCTGTGCAAAATCAGTTATTATAAGCTATTCTTGCGCTTAGCAACCATGCATCTCTTGAATGCAACACTATGCAATCTGCAGTTATTTTCTCACTCTCAAATCCATGAATCGGTCTATGTAATCAAACTAGAAACTGATATTACTGCTGAACTAACAATCACCCAGTTTGGTGTTTTATGTTGACAATATATAACAGGCTGTCTTTATCATTTTTGATCCATATTTCTTAGGACAAGATTCTAAAGGTATCTTCTAATCAGTATAGTACGTTCTCACATGTGTCATCCTCGCTAAGAAAAGGGGCGGTAATACCCCCTATTAAGAGCTAAACTCACTGATTGACGACATGATACAATTTGATCTTCAGAAGAATTAATAAATTCTTGTAAGCTCAAGTTGATCATCACGTGCATTGACAAAAGAAAAGGGAGATTCATATGAAAACACTTTAGAGATGCTAACAAGGTAGTTAATGTCAAAATGTCACTTCCAGTTTGAACACTACTCATGTCCTCTTGACTTCCGAATCTGTCTCTCCTCGCCTATATATTTGCACTTTACGCTCCCACATATTCACAGAATCACAGCATCACAACACCAGCTAACAACCATTAGTCCTTGGTGTTCTGCATTCACTTTTCATGGCGCCCTCCTTCCCGCTCTCCTTTGCACCCCAATCAGCCGATGAAGCAACCGCACACAAGGAAATCTATGACCAACTCCGGCAAGCCGTGGAGACCTTCCCGACGGCGCCCAACAGCAGCACCAGCTTCACGTACAGTCGCCACCCCGACGGATGGTACACGTTCCCGGAGGGGGTTGTGAGTGCCATGGTCATCAAGAGTCACCTTACGGCGCGCACCACCGACATCTTTATGGTCACCTTCCCTAAGTCCGGCACCACCTGGCTTAAGGCGCTCTTGCACTCGGCTCTCCACCGCAGGGCCGACGATCTCGCGGCACACAGCCCCCACCAGCTCGTTCCTTTCCTTGAGACCCAGGTGTTCATCAAAGATCGGATCCCTGACCTGAGCTCCCTCCCGGCGCCGCGGCTGTTGATGACGCACATCCCGTCCCAGTCGTTGCCGGACTCTGTTGCTGACTCCAGCTGCAAGGTGGTGTATCTATGCCGGGATCCCAAGGACTGCTTCATCTCGCTCTGGCATTTCTTGAACAGGTTCAGGCCGTGGGACATCAACGAGGCACACCGAAACTTCTGCGATGGTGTCTCACTGTTTGGCCCGTACTGGGAGCATGTCCTCGGCTATTGGAGGTGGCACGTCAAGAGACCAAGCCAGGTACTCTTCTTGACCTATGAGGAGCTCACTACCGATACACTCGGCCAACTGAGACGCCTAGCCGAGTTCGTCGGACGCCCGTTCATGGTGAAGGAGCAGGAGATCGAAGTGGACAGAAAGATCGTGGAGGCCTGCGCCATGGAGAGCTTGTCGAGGTTGGAAGTGAACCAGTCGGGGACAACTGACATGGTCGATAAAACCTATGCGAACAACATATTCTTCCGGCGTGGCGTGGTTGGTGATTGGAGGAATCACCTGACACCGGAAATGGCGCGGAGGATTGATGAGATTACAGAGATCAAGTTTAAAGGATCCGGCTTGCTGTTGCATCCACAATTTTTACAAGCAAAAAGAGAATAAAATGAACTATTGACAAGTGAAGTGGAGGAACATCTCATGATTGTACTTATTTCTTTGCTTAATGAAAAAAAAATGCAAACCTCGTGTCTATTTATGAAAATAAAAAGTGAAAACATAGTATGTACGTATGTCTATAAATGAAATTATTGCAAGCTGCCTCAAATAATACTCCTACTGTAAGAGATTGCCAATTACTAGTAATAAGTCGGGCTTGTTTTTTTTTTTGTTATTTGGCTTCATTGATTGGTTTTGTGTCACATGATTATCTTCTTTGTACAGCCTGCAGATATGGTCGAGCAAAATTTACGGAATTATAAGACCGTTGGATAAGAGCGTCAAACGTTAAAAATTAGAGGGAATAGTAAATATTATTTCAGTTGGGTGATTTATGTTTTTATCTGAAGTTAAGTTGTGATTTGCGTTAACAACAACATTCTTCAAAATGCTTTTTTCTCATAAACAACTTATCCGATCTACGATCCGATTATACTATTGTATTTGTTATAAGAGTAAATTTTACAAAACTACATGTTTTGTGGTCTAAGTTGCAGAAAACCACACACACTTTGACACTTGGCACTTGAGTACATATATTTTGGTTGTGTAGTTTCACAAAACTACACTATCGATGTATAGATTCACCCGCGAGATGATGCGACTGTTTCACCTAGGACGGGGACATAGCATCCTATTACCAGCCATCGCATGAAATTAATATGATGCCACGTCCTCATCCTAGATGGAACAACCACGTCATCTCACGGGTGAATCCATTCATCGATAGTGTGGTTTTGTGAAACTAAACTACCAAAATATATGTACTTAACTGCCAAGTGTCAAAATGTATGTGGTTTTCTGCAACTTAAACCATAAAACATGTAATTTTGTGAAATTTACTCTTGTTATAATATAATCTTTATAACAATATATCACATGATTATATTATGACAAAAGAAAAATATATGTTTCAATCCGTTAACACTCTTTGTTTCATACGTGATAGTGATATGTTTCAATATGTGTCTTTAGTGTGTTCCACAAAATTCCTGAAACTACCTACCACTTCTCCCTCTCCTCTCTCTCCACCTCATTCATGCATGCATGCTTTTTAGCGAGCTTTAAAACGATTTTCCTCAACTATTTATCCAATCTACGATCTGATCACACATTGTATTCGTTGTAATTAAATCTTTACAATAAGATATCACATGATTATATTATGATGAAAAAAATATATGTTTCAATCCGTTAACACTCACTGTTTCATACGGGATAGTGAAATGTTTCAATAGGTGTCGTTAGTATGTTTCACAAAATTCCCGAAACTACCTGCCACTACTCTCGCTCCTCTCTCTCCACCTCATGCATGCATGCATTTAGCGAGTTTCAAAACGATTTTTCTCCTAAACTACTTATCCAATCTACGATCCGATCACACCATTGTATTTGTTGCAATTAAATCTTTAAAACAAGATATCGCATGATTATATTTTGATGAAAGAAAAACATATGTTTCAATCCATTAACATTAGTTGTTTTATATGCAATAGCGATATGTTTCAACGTGTATCTTCACCATGTTTCGTAAAATTTTTAAATGCTTTGCTTATTTTTTTCACCATATATAACTTGATGTTTTACTCGTTAGTTAACAGAAACATTTGACCGACTGATTTTTTCCGGGCATCGGGCGCCCGATGGGAAGATTCCTCCCCATGAGAGCGAACGTGGACATTTTCTATTTCTTTGATAAATTAATAGATGTTTACTAGTACTCCTTTTGTCCCATAAAAAACTCAATCTTGAGTATGTCCAGATTTAAACTCAAGATTGAGTTTTTTATGGGACAAAGGGAAGGGAGTAGGTTGCACGATGGCACGATGCATTTTTGGAATGCAATTTGCAATAATTATATCAGTGCCAAATCCCATGTGTCGGTATGTGTACTATATCAAACTAGAAGCCGATATTACTAAGAAACAAGTTGACAGTAACGTACACTATTATCATGCTTGATCTATATTTTTCGGAGTAAGAGTAGTATAATGTTATCTTCTGATCAGTATACTATGTGTGCCATCAGTATAACGTCATGGTAAGATTAATTTGACCCTCATAAGCATGATACTTTTATGCAAGCTAACACGCTGAGCACGATGTGCACTAAAAAAAGGTCATATATATAGAGAGAGGTGTGAGAACAACTCAATTAATGCCAGGAAGTTAGAATGTCATTATCAGTTTTTGAACACTGATCATGACTTCCCGATTTGTGTCTCTTCTTTTTTTTCGCGAACAAAATTTGTGTCTCTTCCCCTATATATTAATTTGCACTACTCTACACACTGCACAGAGTCACAAGAACACGTGTTTTGTTCATTGCTGTTTAGTGTGGACTCTTCATGGCTTCCTCCTTCCCGCTCTCCTCTGCAACCGAAGCGGCGGACGAAGCGAAAGCCCACAAGAAAATCTACAACCAACTCCGGCAAGTCGCGGAGACCTTTCCGACGGCGCCCAGCGGCATCGACGTCCCATACAGCCACCACCCCGACGGCTGGTACATGACCACGGCGGGGGTCGTGAGTGCCATGGTCATCAAGAGCCACCTGACGGCACGCGCCACCGACATCTTCCTCGTCACCTTCCCCAAGTCCGGCACCACTTGGATCAAAGCGCTTCTGTACTCGGCTCTCCACCGCAGGGCCGACGAGCTTGTGGCGCATAGCCCCCATCAACTCGTCCCTTTCCTCGAGTCTCAGGTGTTCGTCAAAGATCGGATACCTGACTTGAGCTCCCTGCCAGAGCCACGGCTGTTGATGACGCATATCCCGTCTCAATCGTTGCCAGACTCCGTCGCAGCCTCCGGCTGCAAGGTGGTGTACCTGTGCCGGGATCCCTGGATTGCTTCGTCTCGCTTTGGCACTTCTGGAACAAGTTCAGGCCATGGAATATTGATGAGGCACACCGGCAATTCTATAATGGTGTCTCGTTGTTTGGGCCTTACTGAGAGCACGTCCTCAGCTACTGGAATTGGCATGTCGAGAGGCCAAGCGAGGTACTCTTCTTGACCTACGAGGAGCTCGCCGCTGACACTCTCGGCCATCTGAGATGCCTCGCCGAGTTCGTCGGACGCCCATTCACAATGGAGGAGCAGGATGCCGGAGTGGATAGAAAGATCGTGGAGATTTGTGCCATGGAAAGTTTATCGGGGTTAGAGATGAATCAGTCGGGGATGACTAATTTCACCGAGAAAGACGTGCCAAACAACACGGTCTTCCGGCGTGGCGTGGTTGGAGATTGGAGGAATCACCTGACGCCGGAGATGGCGAGGAGGATTGATGAGATTACAGAGATCAAGTTTAAAGGATCCGGCTTGCGGTTGCATCCACAGTTTTTACAAGCAAAAAGAGAATTAAACAAACTATAGGAGTATGATCACGTGTGAAGTTTCATTATTGTACTTATTTCTCTGCTTAATAAAAAAAATGCAAACCTCTTGCCTATTTATGAAAATAAAAAGTGAAAATATCGTGTGTACTGTATGTCTATAAATGAAATTATTGAAAGCTGCTTCGAATAATACTCTCCTACTGTATAAGAAATTGCCAATTATTATTAGTATGTTGGGTTTGTTTTTGGTTGTCTGGTTTTGTGTCACACGATTATCTTCTATGTACAACCTGCAGATATGCATGGTCCAGCAAAATTTGTAAGACTGTTGGATAAGAGCGTCAAACGTTAAAAATCAGAGGGAGTAGTAAATATTATTTCAGTTGGGTGATTTGTGTTTTTATCTGAAGTTAAGTTGTGATTTGTGTTAACAACAACATTCTTATCAACAAATTTGGTGCAAAAGCCTGATGATATCATCTCGTCAGCAAAATGGGATCCTAGGATAGTGAGCCTGCTAGAAGCTAAATCCACCTATTGGTGCTCTGATAAAATTTGACCCTCATAATTCATAAACAACATTTTTTTCCAAGGTAAAGTTTAATTCCATGTGCATGAAATTTCTCAACCTAACACCATATAATTTTAGAGGAGAGAATAAGGAATGAAAAATACTTTCTCCGTCCCAAAAAAATCCTAATATGTATCTATCTTTGTCTTCAGATTGAGTTTTTCTTGAACGGAGGGAGGGAGTAGGTCACATACATACGGAATGTAAAGACGCTAACAACCTAACAATCAATTAATGATGGATTATCACTGTCAGCTAGCTTGAAAACTCTGCCGGAATTTGTCTCCTCGATCTCTTAGATGTTTGCAACTTGCACTCTCATATATTCATATATTATCAGGCTCATCGCTCACGGGACTAAATTCCATTGTGTTCTGTGTCGCCTCCTCAACAGCCAAAGTGGCCGACGGATCAACGACTCACGAGGCAAGTCAGCGACATCGGCCACCATACTGATACTGCCGCCGTCCTGATGGCTGGTACATGTCCAGGCAGGGAGTTGTGAGAGCTCCATGGCCATCAAGAGGCATCTGACTGCGCGTGCCACCAACGTCTTCATTGCCAACCTTCTCTAAGTCCGGCACCACATGGCTCATTGGCTCAGGGCGCTTCTGCACTCGGCACACATGGCTCATTGGTTCAAGGAGTCAAGGTGCTTCTGCACTCGGCTCTTCTCCGTGGAACTCAAGAGCTAGCTGGTGGCGCAAAAGCCCCACCAGCTCGTCCCAGCTGTTCGTCAACGACCGCATCCTCAGCCTGAATAACTAGAAAAACATAGATTAACTAGAAAATACAAAATACGAGATGCCGATTATGTCTTGCGATTTGGATTCACCTACGTGTATAGTCATTCTGGCGTAACGATGGTTCCAGCCCAGCCTGCATATAAGTGGTAAACCCGTTCCGGCACAACTTCTTGGAGGCAGCTCCTTCTCCTTTTGTTATCCAGATTGAAAATGATAGACAAAAATGTAGTCATGAGCTCGATTAGTTTGTTGTAATTTTCTTTTCAGACCCCTTTTTCTTTATTAATAAAGTTTTCCCTAACAGCAGGTGCCTCCCTTGCTGTGTTCCTTTTTTTTTAAAAAAGGAGCCGGATGGAAGCCGATCAACCTATCATGGGTCTCATATAGGCTTCAGTCACATTGAGGAACAAAAAGGGCCCTCACGGAGGTCCCAGTACCGTTTCGGCCCAACTTATAATG